CAAGCAGTGATGCAAGTAATTCACTTGGGAGATGGAGGTCTTCAGGCTTCTGAGCAACGACTGTTTTTATTATTCAGACACTCTCAAGATGTGATGAGCTTTCTCAGAAGGAACTGTTCCAAGAGCATTTTTAGCACATGCTGAAATGTCATTGTGATATCTAATGTGCACTTTTTATTTTTCTTTCCTGTGTTTCTATCTGCATGTCATTCTTCCTCTCCCTGTCCTCTCACCCACTGCATGGTGCACCTGTTTGTTGTCTTTCCACCTCCCTTTGATTTCCTCTGTGTCTTCCTTCCTTCTGCCCCACACCGTCACCCCACTGGCACTGCATGTCCTGCTGCCTGGCACACCGCATAACCAGGACCACTCCGGCACACTTGGCCCTGAGGAATTCAAAGCCTGTCTCATCAGCTTGGGTTACGATATTGGAAACGATGCACAGGTACTGAATGCTAGTGGTGAACACAGACAGATATTAAGCTATGAAAAAATAACGGTTTTTTTTTCCCTTTCTTTTCTCGTTTGTCTTAATCTATTTGTCATCGTTGTTCTTGTGTTTGACTATATATGTGTCACTTCTCCGTTCTGCTTTATCTCTAAATGTACCTTGGTATCTGTTCCTTCTTAATTCTGTAATGGTTTGTCTTGCGAGAATTCCTTTTATGTCTTCAAACTATTCCATTTACTTCTGTGTCACTTAACACTCCTTCTCTTGTCCATCTCTCACTGTGTCTTACTTAATATCTTTTGCTTTTCTGTCATTGTTTTCCATGTGTGCTAACTATTCTGTGTCCAAAACAACTTTTACATCATGGTTTCACAAACTACCTTTGCTACATTGTTTTTCATTGTCCTGTAAATACTTTTTTCCATCTCCTCCTCCCTAAAACTCATTCTCTGTAATGTCTCATGTGGGTTCATTTCTCTCTGGATTGGTCTTCCTTTTCTCTCTCGGCTTTTCCCATCTTTGCATCACTCTCTGTAGAAGAAGACTGGTATGATGGATTGTGAAGATTTCCGAGCCTGCCTTATCTCCATGGGTTACAATATGGTAATGTAGAGCCCTCTATCACTTCTGTTCAAAGTGATTCTTTTAGCCACCTTCAGAAAGAAAGGGAGAATGTGTAGTGAGTGAATCAAGGTAAATATGATCTTATTTTCCAGCAATTGAAGTTCAATCCAGTACATGTAAAATTGTCTTGCAGCAGTAGCTGAAGATTAAAAAATGATATCATTGTCTTAATTCTTTGTATTTCAAATGAGAATTATATTTATCAAACTGTGCAGCTACAAGTGGAAGAAACTTTCTTATATTGGTACATATGCTCTACATAGTGGCACATAAGTTCCCCAGATCTAAGCATCAATTGAACTCTTCTGGAAGCCTGATTTCTGAATGCAGTCAAAGTTGCTTCTCTCATTCCTACCACTTATTTCACGTCTTTGTTTGCGTAAGTAGGTTCAAGTCCCATTCATCCTCCCTGTAATTTTTCCTTCACCAAAGCACTTGCACATCCATGTGGCACCTTGAGAAGCACGATAACTAATGCAGAGTTTCACCAAAGACTGATATTCATCAGAGGGCAGGAGAAGACCACAAGGCAAAATTGTTGAGCTCTACTCACAGTATCTTTTTTCTGATGTCAGGCAAAGCAGTATTTGTCTTATCAACCCAGTGTAAACATAGACACTTTTTGATGCAGTGTGCCAATCTGCAGTAACATTTGATGAGATACTTCAATTAATCTGGACGGTATACTGATATAGAGGTATTAGAATAGTATGTACCCAGGAGAATACTCAGCCCTGCTTCCCTCTCATCGTTACTTGGGGAGAAAGGAATCCCCACAGATGAGAATAGATAATATTTTGTTTACATAAAAAAGGTAAAAAAATAAAAACCTACAGAAAACCAGAAATCTCACATCACGGTTTTTTCTTCTGTAGTAAACTTATCTGTAGAACCTTTCCTGTAAAAGCTACTTCCCTGAGCCTTTCCAGATATAGAAGACCTTTTCTGCAAAGCCTGTCTAGTTAGAATAACCAGAAAACATTCAAAACCCCAGAGATGTTTCTGCTGGTGGATTCTGTTCTAGTAGCAGAAGAGAACCATGAAAGTTTAGGAAATAAAAGGATGTAATGAATACAGATCTTCCAGTATTGCTACAGACATCTAGCACAGCATCTACTACAGAGAAAGCTGCATCTTCTCAAGTCTACATGATATTGTTCCTAGTAGAAGCTTTATCCTAGAGCTAGTTGGAATTAGATGGTATTTTAGGGCACAGCTGAGAATATTTTATTCCAAAGGACAAATGAGTGGGAGTTGTGTAGGGGGCACACAAGAGCCAGATTTAAAAAAAAAGTACTCTAACGCAAGGTTGAAGTTGTTTCTGTTTGACTTTGCTTTCCCAGCTGTGAGATGTGCTGCTGAACAGTTTCTCCTCACTTTCCTGGCACTGCTGCCCAAGTGTCCAGGCTTACATGACTCTCTTGTTCTCCAGGGAGAGGCAGAGTTTGCCCGCATCATGAGCATCGTCGACCCCAATCGCATGGGTGTAGTGACGTTCCAGGCCTTCATCGACTTCATGTCTCGGGAAACAGCAGATACAGATACTGCTGACCAGGTTATGGCTTCTTTCAAGATCCTGGCTGGAGATAAGGTGAGGCTCTGTGGTCTTCCTTCCAATCTGTATCGTTCCTGCCTTCCTTTTTCCCTTCTGTCTGCAAGAGGAAGTGTCGAGGGAAGCACTCTCTAGCAAGGAAGGCATTTTCACAGGAACACTGCAGTGCTGGAGGAGTGCAAGGCTAAAGTGTGGGTTAATGAGCAGCCTGCCAAGGCACTTGAAAGCCCTGTTCAGCTGTCAGCAGATCAGCAGAACTATGCTGCTCACTCTTGCATTAAAAAATTTATTAAGAGCTCAGTTTCAATTTGTTTCTTTAAAATGTATGAATAGATTAAACAGATGGCTCTTGATTAATCTTCTTGAAAAACTGTTAATTACTGACAGCTATAAACTTGAGACAATCTTTGTAGATATATCTGTGGCACTACAGTCATTATACAGTCAATCACAGAATGCTACACGTGATCTTAGCCAAAAGGCCGAGAGGTGAGACTAGGCTGTCATTAAAGATATGCTGTATCTGCAAGCTGTACAATTTTAGAAGGGCATACTGCAATAATAAATTGGTTGAAAATAAGAAAAATCACGGGTGGTGGTGATGTATTACTCTTCTAAATTTGAAACATCAGTGGAACCAGATGATACAAAAGAATTATGTATTCTTAATTTTCTTACATAAAAATCCCCACTAGTCTTCAATGTAATTGAAAAAAATAAGTGGTATCTCTAATATAATGATTCTCTGTGTTTTCTGATGATTTTATTCATTTCACGTGAAACATGGGATTCTGTTTCTCAGGCTACAGTGAGTTATTCTTTCAGCCAGCACTGGTTTCTTGCTTCACCAATCATCTTTTCATAACCTGTAACATGGAAACCCATAGTGTCCATCTTTCTATAAGGCACAGTACCTGAGTAAAGCCAGTTCTATTGTCTTTCAAGGCCTGAAAATTCCACTTTATTGTGGTGGGCTAAACACTGAGAAAGGAAGCTTTTGGGGATATAGTGTTATTTACTAACTCATTTATTCTTTACAGTACATTAAATATAATTTTTGGTGTTTAATATGCTGTAGTGACTATAACATGAATCAGACAGTATTTCATTATGAAGAAAAATCTCCTACTCATTCCAGTCACATAATTAAAGGCATGAAAAAAGGAATAGAAAGGAAAAGGAGAGAGAGAGAGAGACTGAAACCTGAGGTGTTACTCAGAAAACTGTGAGCGAGTCAGCTAAACACAACCTACTGGTTAGCAAACAGGCAGTTACTGTTACTAGCTGCATGAAAAGACCCCAAGCTAGTCTCCCTTCAGCTGAATGAATCTCCAGAAGGCACATTTATCTAAGACATTTTGCTTGCTTATTAAAAATGTCCGCCATGAAAGAGAAGAATTATTAGCAGAGCTGTGAAAGCTTCCAAAAGTGTTCACTTGTCTGCTGCCTGCAGTGGTGCCACCAGCCAGTGCTAGTGGGGCTGGCTCCTTTTCATGCTCTGAGGAGAGGAAATGGCAGCTCCCAAGCAGCACAAACTGCTGCCAGCCAGAGGCAAGATCCAAATGAAGTTTCTGCTTCTTCCTGTTTGCCTTAAGCTGGACCTCCACTTTCACTGAGAAGGTACCACAATTTATCTGAACTCCCACCAGACCTTTTCTTTAGGTGTGCCAGCATGTCTCCTGCAGAAACAGTCTTCCTCTCCTCTGTAAAAGCATGTTCTTGGCCAAGCAGTAAGGAGAGCAACTACATTTCCCTGACAGGTGCATGCCTGGCAAGCTCTGTTTGTGGGCACACAGCAAAAGTCTCGTTATTGTGGTCAGCCCCTGACTGCCGTCTGCTGCCCTGTGGGTGCAGGCAGTGGGGTCCCTCTGATGGATGTTGATGTTTTGAAGATAACGTCTGCCTTATCCTGTGTCTTCGTTGCAGAACTACATCACTGTGGATGAGTTACGGCGGGAACTGCCTCCTGATCAGGCTGAGTACTGCATTGCTAGAATGGCACCCTACAATGGCCGTGATGCTGTACCCGGTGCCCTGGACTACATGTCTTTCTCCACGGCGCTCTATGGCGAAAGTGACCTTTAACTTTTTTCTGTCCCACCACACAACCCTCCCCTCTCCCCGTCCAACACACCCTTCTTTCTCTTTGCAAAGCAGCCTCTGCTCCGCTCTTTTTTGTGTTTCCCTGTTTTGCTTCAGATAACAGATCATGTTTTTAAATGGGGGGGAGGACATTGACATGACACCGCCTACCTTGCCCTTGAAATGACAGTTTACAAAATTATTTTGTGCAAAAAAGTTACGTTTTAAAAAGAACAGACATATTTTATTATAGAAAAGGGTATTTTTCTCCACCAGATTGAAACTTAAAAAGAAAATGTTCAAATATTGCACCAAATATTTTTTGTTGTGACATAGAAAGTTGAGCACAATGTTACATTCCATCCTTTCCAAAAAGAACCAACCAACAACAAAACGCCACTTGTTCTGTTAACTTCTACATTTGCGTATGTCTCTTTATCACGTTTATCTTTGGAGGGGGGAAGGCACACAAGTGCATGTGTTTGCTGGTTCACTCATTTCATGAAAATATTTTATGATAAACTTTTGAAATTGCTGTGTTTTCTAGGGAAAAAATAATGTACACAGCTCATGTTTTCATATTTAATTAAAAAATACAATATGCCTCCTATGTTTATCAGTGCACAACATTTTTTGTTGCTGAGAGTTGTCTGGTTTCAGATGAAGCTTGAGAGTTGATAACTTTGATATTGCTTGTCACAAACCATATTAAAAATTTCTTGTGATAACAGATCTAGGCTTTATTCATTTGTATAGTGAATGTTTAGTTCTCTTTAGTTGAAACCACATACACGAAGAGAATCCGAAATGCTTTTTAGTTGAAATTACAATCCTTTGAATGTCAGTTTCCCACCACCTTTAACTTTTCATTTCTGTTGAATTAAATTGGACATTACACAGCTTTCTGGCCACTTTAAACTAGATATTTTCAATCATCCCTGACACATATCTCCAGGACAATATCCTCGTTATTCCTTTAAAAACAGCACAGAATTAATTACAGAGCTATGCAAACAATCACCGCATTTTGAACCATCTAATGAAGGATTCCTCCACTATTCCATGCTCAGCATTGGATAGCTCACTGCTTTTGATATTGTATCTTCTGACATCATAAATTCCTCCACCACTCCACCTTTGTAGTCAACATTCAAAAGAAACCAGCCTTCAGAACAACTCTTTGGGGACCTTTCATGAATCAAAATATATGCAAATGCACATGCCTGGAAATTAGCAAGGGGAAGGGGCTAATCCCTGTCATCTCAGATTACAAATACATTTCTTGCCCTCCCACAGCTTTTTTAGTAGTCGTGGATTTTAAGGATAAAAATCTTCATTAGCGCTTCATGATGCATTTCAAGTAAGCTTTTTAGGTATAACGTAAATTTATATAACCTAGCATACTTTAAAAAAAAAACAACGGAAAGTAATACCAAGAAGTGAGGCAAATAACCACTGGAGTACTGAGTGACCACTATATAGAGAAAAGACCTGTGTTATCTTAGAGTGTGCTGTGGGTGTCCAGCTCCCCTGGTGTGCTTGCAATGTGAGTGGAGCCGGGTGTGTCCCGAGCAATCCAAGTGGCAGTTCTCTGCCAGTCTGTGCTTAGAGATCTCGAAAGTCTTGACAAAAAGCTAAATGAGCTGTGTTTGTGTTTTTACTCTTCAATAGGATTCACACAAAACCCCAACTGGGCATAAGCATTTCTGGTTTTTTGAGACCGAAAGGAAATGTGTGGCTCTGCCCTGCTGGCAGCACAAACTGGGGCAGCATGGGGCCTATGGCAATCCTGGCTTTGCTGTGCTAGTACCACAGAACTGCGTCCTCAGCTGAAGCTATGGTGTTTCTGAGAATCTGAATACAGCTCAAAATATTGACAAGAGGTGTACTGATAATTCTAGGCACATGGACTGGTATTCCTTCTCCACAGCCTCTGAGAAACTGGCTAGAGCTGACGTCACCCAGTCTTTGACACCCAGGGGGCAGACAAAGCCCCCCCATCCCCATGATACATGCAGAGGAGCTCTGTGATGCTGCAGCACATTGGCCTTCTTCACCTGTGGCACAAAATGCATCTTGCACTCATGTGGCCTAACCTCTCTGGCAGTTGCTATGCTGAAATTTGAATACAGCTTCTTGTGTTAGGATCATGGTTTTGAAGCTAATGTGCCGCTCTTCAGCCAAATCCTGACATCAGCCTCCATTAAATTCCTCTCTGGAAGCAGCTGTCAGCAGCTCAGTGACTGCCCCCACTCCTGCCAAGAACAGAAGCAACACAGAGCGTGTCTCAAGTTCACATCTCCCATTCAGAGATGAACTGATTGTTTTCATCAGTCTGTCAGATTCCCCATGTTCAGGCACGGCCTTGGAATAATGTTTTTTCCCAGAAATTAACCACTGTCATTTCATAGCTGTTGACATCTTCAGCTCTGGAGACCTCGGTACCTGCCCCTGCATGTGACTGCATGATGGCCCAGGGACAAAAGCACATCAGTGCTCAGAAAACAAGGAGCTGTCCTGCCTGCAGAATGTCAGCCACATTTCTAAAAGCCTCTCAAATACGTACTGTGACTGCTGCTTGTCTTCAGTGCTGCCAGATCTGGTTTTGGAACAGAAGAGCAGAGCCAAGAGGCTCAGAAGACAATGAAAGGAAACTGGTCTGCAACCTTGAATGAACTTAGTTTCTAAGAAGCATTCATACATCCACAGAGGATTGGTCCAGATGAATCAGACTGGCTGGTTTTATCAGTGAACTAACAGGGATAGCAAGGAGCAATAAGAAGGCGGCTGTTAATGGCTGTGAAAACAAACAGTGTGCATTAAAATGACTTTCTTCAGAAACCAGAATGCAGGTACGATTTTCAGACCATAACATTATTTGTACTAAATTATTTACATAACAGATGTTCGGTAGAACAGATACTAAGAGTGCTTCATCCCAATTAATTAATCAAATTGCCTGGTTAACTGAGTACCAGAAGAGTCACTACCACATAAGACCTTAAAATCCTGAAAAGCCATAAGCTTCTGGGAAAGTCTTAGTCTTAATAAACCTGGATTAGCAAAGGATAGGGCATACCCTAAGACAAACAGGTAACCAGAGCATTCCCCAGCATGCACTGAGGAGATGTGTTCAATGAGCAGTCAGTAGAGAAGACAGCCACTGCAAGGGGCAGAGCTGACTGGCAGGCTCTGTTCTGGAAATGACGTCTGTGAGGCTATTTCAGGTAGACAAATCTATCAGCTTAAGTCTACTGAAAGGGAAGGAATAAAATTAATCTTTGCTACATTCTGTGGACTTAGAGACAATATAGGCTACGTACCTCACCAACAAAATATTTGATTCTTCTTTTATCTGGACACCATACAACAGTCAGGAAGTAATTCCTTAGTTTTGTGCTCTGATTTATGCTTTGATTACTGGGGTATACATGCATGAAAATATGTTGGTACAAAATGCAGTCATTTCTTATCTCTTAGCAAGTTTGTTCACACCTTGCCACTTGTCAGTAGTTCACAGCCTAGCAACCATCGTGTTAGGTGTCACTTGAGCAAAATAGCCAGAATGTTCACAAGCCATAGCAAAACCTCTTGACAGAAACAGATATCAGCATGTTTCTCTCAGACAGCCCCAAGCTGGGATCCCAAAGAAACAAAGCTCTGGTTTCACAGCTGCAGGTGGGTGTCTCTGTGCTATAACACAGAGTCCTACATCTCTCACTACTGCTTCCTGGCAGCTCAGCATGTGGGTATTTTTGGTCACTAAATGACCCACACCTGCCCCTATGTCCCATGCAGGGACCTGACTCCAGGCTTTGGGCTCCATCTCAGACTCTGGGTTGCTGCACTTCTGAGGTGGGTGCTGTGGTGAGCACAGCTCAGTTGTTAAGTGTCTCCAGCCAGAAGCCATTTGCCTGTGGTCCTCAGGGAAGTCCGCGGAGAACTGAACCCAGCTCTGTTACATTCCACTCAAAGTGCCACGGGCATCTCTGAAGGATCCCACGCCTTCTTCCCAAACCATTCCACCTAGTTTCCCAGTTTCTGTTGCTACTTTCTGTGTGTACCCTGTGACTTTGGCTGTACATGTTTGCCTAAAACCAGGAACAAATTTTAAACTGCAGGGTTAAGAACGCATTTTATGCCCTCTTTATTATTAGGCACACTCAACACTGCCACCATCACTTTAATGAAAGTGATGTAATTTCAGTATTCAGCATTGAAATTTCAGTAATGAAAGTGACTCTCCGACTGCTTCTTAGTTGAAGAAGACATAGTCTTTCATCGGTGGCACCAAACCACACCATCCTGCATTCTGCCTCAGATAAAATAAAATGTCTTCTTCAAGGAAAAAAGAAAGCAATGCACGTACCCTCATAATGAGCAGATTATGTTGTTTAAGCCTGCTGAATCCAGCTGAGTGTTTGTTTGCATTTGTAGGCGAGCAGTCAGAATGCTATTTGTTCCCAGTGGGCTTTCCTATGAGCTGCTCAAAATAACTAGGGAACTAAGATGCAGCTCTATTGTGAGAGTAGATTTTGCACATGATAACATCCAGAAACACTACCCACTTGCTAGAGGCAACACTGCAGGTTCTTCAAATGCTGTACATCATGCCTTTTGCTGCCATGCAGTGTCCACATCCAAGAAAGGGAAAGTGGGACTGCAGTCTGGCCCAGGCACTGCTGGTGCACTCAGAGCTCTGTTCCAGACACACCACCGCATTCTTCCCCACTGACATGATCCGGAGTGCAGAGATGATTTGCAGGATTAAACCAAAATGCTTTAATTGGGCTTCCATGACTTATCTTCATTATTGCCAGTAACTCCAATCCTTATTGCTCTCATACCATTCCAAGACTGCCACCTAAGGAGCTTTTTTTCTGCTTCTGAACTCCTTACACAGCAATTCAAGCATATAGACACGCTGAGACTGGTGGTACTCCTGCAATATTCCAGCTCTGCTATCTGCACAAGTATCTGCACAGGGAGTCACACAGCTGTGCCATTTTGGGTGTCCTGGGCAATGTTAAGAAATAAATTAAACCACCTTACAACTGTATGGTGTTTTCTGAGTTGTAAGGCATATTTCCCCAGCTATAACCGCCTACTTTTTTAACTGCAGACAGCTTTGCTGAACTGCTAGATCACACCTTTTTCTTACCAAAGGCGTTCACCTTGCAGCAAAGGCCAGCAGCACCCTGGGCAGTGTTAGGCACACAACAACACCGGGTTTTTTGTTCTAGGGGCAGGCAAACACCGGCACAGGCTGCCGGCTCTCCTCCCGGGACATCTCCGGCAGCCGCCGAAGCTGAAGTCCAGGCCTAACGCAATCAAAGGGGCAGACAGACACACCGCGCGGCGTCCGGATGGCGAAAATTTAACGAGCTGCGCTGCAACGAAGGACACAGCAGCGCTCACCTCGCTCCTTGCATCGTGACTTGTCACGAACCGCACGGCCGGAACGCCACGATCGGGCCCGTTCTCGGACACCAACAGACCCGCCCGGCCCCGCAGCCACCCCTCTCCCCGCGCGGCCCCCTCGCGGCGCGGCTCGGCGCAGCGCCACCGCCGCCATCCGCACGGCAGCCCGCGGCCCCGGCAGGCAGCGCGGCACAGCAGGGGGCCGGGGCGCGGCCCGCCGCGCGGCACGCTGGGACTTGGAGTCGGACGTCGGCGGTTGCGCAGCATCCGTTGGGGGCGCGCGGCGTTGCTGGTCTCTCGTAGGAACGAGGCAGCCATTGCCGCCGCGGCCGGGAAGAGCGCTCTCTCTCCTCACGGCCCGCAGGACTCAGCGCCCGGCGACGGTGAGCGGCGCCGCTCCCGCCCAGCGGAGGGAGGCGCGGGGCGGAGGGCCGGGCGGAGGGTTGCGAGCGGGCTCCTCGAGGCCGGGCCGCGCCGTGAGGCCTCCGCGGGGCGGGGATGGGCCCGGCCTTTCTCGCGGCGCCGCCGTCCGCGGGGGGGGAGGGGAGCGGAGCCGCCGGGGGAGGCCTCCGCGGGGAGCGGGCGCTCGGGGAGCGGAGGCGCGGCGCCGGCGGGCCGCGAGACCCCCGCGGCGCGTTCCTGCGGCCGGGCGGGGTGGGGCGGGACGGCCGATCGCGGTCGGCCGAGGGGAGCGCGGAGCCGGCGGCGGGGCGACGGGCCGGGCGGCGCCGCTGGGCGGGAGGGAAGGCCCAGCGGCCACGGGGCGCGCCGCGGTCCTGGGCTCTTTGCGCGGCACGCGGCCCGTTGGGATGCGGCCCGGCGCGGACCCGGCCTCCCCGGGTACTTTTCCACTGGTGCGTGCCATCGCGGGAGCCGTCATCGGTGAGCGGCCGCGGCGCGTCGTGCCGGGAACGACGTGTGAGGCGCTGCGACGCGCCGGTGTCCGTGCCGGTGTCGGCCGCCGCGATCCCCCGTGTTGACGGACCTGCCAAGCGCTGCCTGCGGGACTGTGTTAGGCGGCCAGCCCCATCCGTCCGTCCTCTGAGTCTCATCTCGTCCGCCCGTTGTGTTCTAGAGCTGAAGAAGCGAGCGGTAGTCACGCGGTCGTTTTAATCGGGCACGTCCCCGTTGTTCCTCAAACGAGTGCCTTGCCACGATGCCGGTTCTTGCCGTGCTTTCGGGCGGACGGTTGCAGTTATGTAAGTGTGGCCTTCCCCTGCTTGACCCTGCGTGGAGGGCTGCAGCAGGGACCGAGCTGACCCCACCTCAGCTGCTGTGAGCCCGAGGGGGACTCCAAAGGGCGGGTGGCCACGGCAGGGGACCGGTGTGCTTGTGGCGTGAAGAGCAGTCGTCACGGGCCGTGCATCCCTGACACTTCAGACTGATCCGGATAGGTGCAGTCAGCCATGCCTTGCCCCCAGCAGAAGGCCAGTGCCCTCCTTGCAGGCGGTTCTCCAATGGCACAGTAAGACAAGTGAATAAGCTCTTCATCAGTAGAAGCCTAATGGGCGTTAGTGCAGAATGTGAACCACGCTAACCTCAAATGCTGCAACCAATGTCCTTACGTTGCTGACCTGGTGTGTTGGCAGGGTGTTCCATCTGCTCTACAGCCCGGTGTTAAGATACAAGCTGTATTTCTTTTCCCTGGGGCTTATGTTCTTTGTGTTTTGTATGACGGCAAACTCACTGAGTGAGCCAGATAATTAAAATTTTCTAGTCACAAGAAATGAAAAAATTTGAAATCGCATGAACTTCACATTTGTTCATGTGCTTCCTAGTTAATTTTTAACTATTTGGATCAGCAAACCAATATTACAACAAGAAGGATGCATGCTGTCATATCTGGGGTCCTGAACTGAAGCTGCCTTTGCACTTTGCAAACGATGTGGCTTCCACAAGAGGTCTCAAATGATCCATCTTGGATCAGCAGATAGTTTTCAAAATCTGAGTATGCAGAATAGCCTTTCTTTTTGTCATTGTTGAAATCTTCTCACAACTGAGAGCTTCTTCATAGCTTGAGAGACTGTTGAGAACAGAATTGTATGATTGGTGCAAATTGAGATAATTTTATCACTGCTGTTTATCTTTTGAACACAAATATAACTTTAATTGCAGTAGTATTTCAGTGAAAGCAAGAGCTTGGCATTCTTTTATGTTTCTATCCCAATTATTAGCTCTTAAATTTTTTGTATTTAACCACTGTTAGCCGTGTAAATTCATCTTAAAGTTTACGGAAATGGGTTTGTTTGTTTGTCTTTATGGTCTGCTGGAAAAGCCTCTCTAGTCTGGCAGCTAGTGAAACCATTAATTCAGTTACCAGAGGACTTTAAGTTATATGACTGAAGAGAACAAAGCTGGGAGTTCGGTACAGGTTCTGCTGAAATTCAGCAAGACAGGAATTTGTCACATTTCTGGCTGTAGAGGAGAGTCAGGTTTTTAACACAGATACTTAGAGGATGATACAATCAAATGCCATTTAACCAGGCTTTCTGAGATGTAAACGCGATCTTAATCACTCGAAGTTTGTTAGTCTGACTAGCACTGACATTTTTTTTTGTAGCATCACACTTAAGATGAGTGGCTGCCGTGTCTTCGTTGGGCACTTAAGCTCACGTGCTCGGGAGCGGGATGTGGAGAAGTTCTTCAAAGGCTATGGACGCATACGGGAAATCCATCTAAAAAATGGATTTGGATTTGTGGTAAGTAACACGTTACTTTCTCTTGCTTGGAGGCACTAACATTGCTAGGCTGGAGTCAAGGAAGAGCAAATACTTCACATTGCTTTTCAGGTGATGTGATTAATTTTCTCTCCTTCTGTTACTTTTTTCCTTATTTTCTTCCAGGTTTTGCTCAAAGTCTTGGAAATGTTCTAGCTGCATTAAATGCATTACGAATCAGAATGCATTCTTCTGTGGGATTTAGATTTTATCCCTTACTTACGAAGACAGTATATATAATCTGTTATGGCATCGTAAAACTCAACAAAGTCTTGACCTGGAGAAGTCTTTATGACTTCACTTCTATTTCCGTTTCACTTCTGGCTTCTTTGGTCATATCTCTAAGTAATGACCTGACACAGAAGCAAGGAAGTTAGCTAAGACTACGAGTGTGTAATAGTTGCTTGCTGAACTTAAGCAGCACAGTTTTAACTGTCACTCAGCTGAAGGTAGGTGTATTCACCATATTCACCATTGGTGTATGTCCGTAAAGCGTATGTGTCTCTCAGACTACTAAATGAAACACACAGTTTACTGGATCTTACTTTCCCACCTCTGGGTACCTAAAACTATTGTCTGAATCTTTGCAAGCTGGCTGTGGATCAGCCTGGTTCTTATATTCTGAGAATGATCTTTTCTCTGGTGCTGTATTCCAGCTGGGAAGGTTTATGCCGCCCTCATACAGTGACATACGTGCTCTCATGCCATTCATTCTGCCAAGATCATTCCCTAGTGTGAAGCTATGGGAAAAGAAAAAGAAACAGTCTTTGTCTACTTATGCTTCGAATAATATTGCCTCTTAACTCCTACACATACCAGTTCCTGAGTGCACCACATTATGAGGTATTTCTTTTTGCTTACTGGCAGTCAACGACTTTCCTCTTGGTATCTGGCAGTAGATGGCTGCTCTAAGAGCTGAGTGTGAGGGGTATTTTTCAGCGCGTCCTTTCCATGTGCCGCTGTTTCTCTGTCGCCTTTTGCTGGGTATCTCTTCTCTTTTTTTGGGGGTAGGGCTGTTGGCTTATTCAGGGAAGAAGTCTGTTCAACTGCTGTACATGAGTCAGCCTACCTTCTTTCCTTTCTTCTCTGGATCCCCAGTAGTGGCATTTTCTTTTCAGAACTCAGTGATAAGATTGAATAATTGTGCCATAACTCTCAGAAATATTAATTCTTCTGATGAGGAGGAACATTTTTTTCTTGCAACTGAAAGAAACTTTCCTCAGTGTAGCTTGTGCTCTTTGCCTTTTGTCCTGTGCACCCATGTGACTGTTTAGGTGTTGAAAGACTCCAGCTAGATCCCCTTTGACCTTTCTCTTCACCGGGCTGGATGCACACGACTCCCTGAACCTTTCTTCCTTCATAAAATCACCAGCTTTGGTGGCCCTCTGCTAGTCCTGCTCCAATTTTTCAAAGTATTTCTTGAACTGGAAAGAGCAAAACTGGACACAGCATTCAGGTGTGGCCAAATAAGTGCCAAGTAGGGCAGAAAAACACATCTCTTGATCTGCTAGTGCAGCCCAGGACATGATTTGTTTTCCTTGCTGTGAGGCCATCCTGCTGACTCACACTTAGCTTACATTCTGTGAGGATTCCCATGTCCTTTGCAGCAGAGCCATAACCAAGCTGCTCAGATCCCTGCCTGTATTGTGCTTGGAATGAATCTGTTCCAGGTGCATTACTTTATATTTTACCTTTTTTAAAGCTCCCAATTCTTGTTGGCACAATCTTTGAGGCTATGAAAATCTCTCTGTGTGGTGGTTTTTCATTCGTTCTCTTCATCCGGATCATTGATAAAAACATTGAGTAGTATTAACCCTTGAGATACTCCAGCTGTGGCTGTTCAACTTTTGTTTTGCTTATTTAAAAATCTGCATTTATAAAACCTTTTATATATTAAAAGCAATTCTTATTCAACATTGTTGAGTGTTAAAATATAAAGCATATTTTAACCTGAATCATTTCTTTGGAACAAATTATATACAATTTATATATATATATATATATATATATAAACAAATATATATATTTGCTTTTTCTGTAGATTTCAATGCAGAATGTTTTCAAATCTCAGGCCATGAAGCTAGTATTTAAAGCTAGATAGACTTGCAGGCATTCAGTGTTTTAGAAACTAGCTGAAATCAGTGAGAGATGTAGATGCTAACTACTGATGTTCTTAAATGGTGGGCCTAAATGATTTTTCCCAAGATAATGTCTTCCTCATTTTACAGGATTGTGCCATGAAGCAGATTTCAGTGCAAAACGAAGAAGAAAGCTGAAGCCAGTATTCCTTCTGGAAAAGCTGTTTGTAGTTAGCAGATGCTTTCTTTGACTTGAGAAGCTCTTTCTCTGCTATTCAGTGCTCTTGAGCTGCAGTCCTGTGATTTTATGTTTTTTTTTCCATCTGTGG